TTGCAAACAAAAAATTAAACAATAAATAATCAAACGATGGGATAGATGAACGGGCGACGAGAAGCTAAAATTTAAATATCATGACAATATATGACAATACTGTGTCATAAAAAAATAAATAAATAGAAAATCTTCATCCTCGTTCAGTTTACTCTTAGCTATTCTGGCGAGAGTAGACGTATCCCGTAGTATCACGGATACAACCAGACAATATACGACCTGCGATCCCTTCCTGATCTAACGTCCTGACACCATGGTGTCCACGTAAGGAAATATTATAACTAAAAACTCCTCTGTAGTGCATGCTGAAGTATAAAAGACACACACACACATTACATTTTAATACTAGTAATAAACGACCTTACAACACCAAATTTGTTATTTTACTTATTTAATTGGACACATTAAACGTTTCACTTTAAAGCTTCTTCAGGAGCGTTCCACTGAAACACAAACCGTAACTGACAGCACAAAGCTTCAATTGGTTTAAATAATAAATTATATTCGAAGATATAGCGTGCGTTTGACGTATTAAGCGGTAAAGCTTAATGTTGAAATAATATATTGCTATTTGTAGTAAACAAACATTCCATCTGTATTGCAGATTAAAGTAACAAAAGTTAAGGTGAAAACTAAAATAATGATAGTTATAATTTCAGGCGCCAAAGAGACAAGGGATGAAGAAGCTGTAAAGCGAAACGTTGAATGTCCATTTAAAGAAGAAAAATAATAAATTTGTTGTTATAAGGTCGTTTATTGCTAGTAATAACTCGTCATGCTCGTCCAGTTAACTCATATTTGTTCTGACGAGAATAGATGTAACCCACAGTGTCGCGGATACAGACAGACAATGCAGAGACTTTCTATGTCATTCTGACGTACACCAAACATGTGTTTATTTATTTCAACAAAAATGACCGCAAATTACTCCAAAGATCTGAAGCTACTTCTTTTGGAATGTCGACTCTATATAAAAACAAGGTATTTCAATGAGGATACTAAGAGAATGTAAACAACATAACATTATGAATTTTAAAGGATTTTACAGATACAACTTCATTTATTTAGCTGCGTCCACTCTACAAAATCCAATTTTTTACCATACCTAAAAATGAATATTCCCTATACCTAAATACCTAAAATTGAATATTCCCTATACCTAAATATATAAAATTCAATATTCCATATATCTAAACATATAAAATTGAATATTTCCTATACTTAAATACCTAAAATTGAATATTCCCTATACCTAAATATATAAAATTGAATATTCCCTATACCTAAATATATAAAATTGAATATTCTCTATACCTAAATATATAAAATTGAATATTCCCTATACCGAGTACGCTTGTACCCAACTTCATAATATTATATATATAAATATATTATGCAATGATTATATTAATGTAATGCATAAACTCACAACATTATGAATTATATATGTTTTGAAATAAACCCTACAATTTGCACCTTTAATACGCCAAACCTATGAACGTTTCTTTTGGATATATCTACAGTTTTCTCTTCGTTGTTGTTGTTTTTTACATCATTAGGAATTCTTTCAACTTTGTCGATATAACTTTTGATGAATGGAAAACGAGTATGGTCAAAGAAACGTCAATAATGCTATTACGGATTGGAAAATAAATCATTTCTGTTATGGACATATATATCTTATTTCTATGTTTTGTTTGGTGCCAGAATAATTCAAGGATTTTAGGCAAACACCCCTAATTTATTTTACTCCTTTGAAAAATATACTCATTGTATTAAAATAGCATACGTACAATCATGTTTAATATTTACGCAATCTGATAATCTGGTGGATAACCTATAGACGTCAATCAAAATTCAATTAGATTACCAACACATTCCTACGAGAAGCTATACTGAAATAATCACCAGGATGGAAGAAAGCAGTGAAAGGTTATTTTAAGTAGAACAACGTAAGAAATGCTCAGTTTGCTGTTGTTTAGGGATAAAGTTGGATTCATTTTTCTTTCACCATTTCGTTAGAAAGTGCTTTTCCATACTTCACACATAAATGTTCCTTACTACAGTACACAGTAACAAAAATCATAACAATTATTTATGGTGTTTACAAATCCTTCAATGCTAGAGACGTGATTATGACAAATTTTAACATATTTTAATAACAAATTGTACGCATTATATAAAAACATAATCCAAAGTCAAGTTTACGTCTACAATTAAACATAGTTCGGCTTTACAATAATGATAAAGCGAATATGACCTATGAGACTCAATATCTTATATCCGAAATGGAAATATTTGAAGCGAGAAGGCGTATTTATCGTAATCACTAATCGGTTCTAATTATTTTAAAATACGTAATTGCTACAAAGTGCTTTTGCGGATTTTTCTAATCGTCGGCACCATGAAACAAGAAGCTAGTAAGAGAATCTTCCAAGTTCCAACCTGGGTGTTCTTGTCGCTATCTTTGAGCCAAACATAGCATTTATTTTTCTATTATAGCTTTCTAATATCTCGGTTTGGGTTGGGTACTCATTCTAATTACACCAATCGCTGAAGATATTGCGCGCATTGTTTCGATGCTAAAACTTGTTGGTTAAAACTGTTCTTAATGTGGCACTAAATCCCGCCTTCCGGCCACCTCTAAAGGAGGGAAATAAATGAAATGGATCCTGTACACCTTTAATTGTAGAGAACAAAAGCGCGGAACCCTCAAATCGTTTCACGCAAATTGTCTCGTTTTACTACCTGGCACCAGAACTAAAGGCTGTACAGGTGATAACTGAGGTCTTCAGAACCTCGGGGCGTGCGACTATTTACAATCCAGGGAGGAACTGGAGTGCTAACTTCCAAAAAGGTGCAATTCTATGTTCTGATGTGGGCTATAAAGGTACAGTATGTTGTCAAGGTAAAGTGAAGAGACGTTATCACAGCACAGGCCACCAAGACGGCGACTCGTGGATCAGTGGCCCCACGTGCAGAAGGACAAGCAGTGATAGTTCGCAGCAGGATGCTTGCTCTGGTCGTTGCGAACCCGATGTTCATCATCAACACACCTGTTTCGTCTGTTTACAATTTAAATTTGACCACTCAGTATACGATCGTTCTTTCTATAAAAATATAACATTTCTATCGTACTAGAGAACGAATGCAAATGCACAATATATATCTTTAGCTGTTAATCTGTTCAAAGTAATCGTTAACATTGTTTCTGTCTTATTCTGTTACTTTTAAGTTATGGATGTCGGTTTCTCCTGTCATCATTAGTCGGTTAACTCCTCATTGCAACGTAGTTTAATAAACGTAGCCTTTCAAAGATTTGCTAGAATATTCTCTACACTAATTCGATTTTGAATTTACAGTTGACGAAAGAAAAACACTGACAACTTGTTAATTTATGAAAAAAAAAAGACAAATGCTAATATTCAGTTAAGAATGAGATTTCTTAGATCAATATTATAGACATCTCTCTCAGTGAAATGTATTAGCAAGTTTCATCCAATTCCAAAGTTTAGAGTTCATTTCATCTGAACTGGATCTCATATATAAAGTGTAAAAAGAATAAAATGGTCCGGGCGATTAGAATTACTATACTTCCCATTAATACACTGTTTAAAACTACTTAGTTCTACGAAAAAACATGTTTATAATTTTACTTACAGACAAGTAAAAAACATGGGGTAAGTTTAAGCGGCTGTTACTTGTTTGTTTGTTTTGAATTTTGCGAGGGTTATCTGCGCTAGCCGTACCTATTTTAACAGTGTAAGACTAGAGGGAAGGCAGTTAGTCATCACCCCCACCGCCAACTCTTGGGCTACTCTTTTACCAGCGAATAGTGGGATTGACCATAACATTATAACGCCCCCACGGCTGAAAGGGCGAGCATGTTTGATGGGATGGGGATTCGAACCCGTAGATTCCGAATCGAGCTTCCTAACCACCTAGCCATGCTGGGCCCGGCTGTTACTTGAATAGTAGTAGTGTGGATCAAACTCCTACAACAGCTAGTTTTAACTTTTTGGACCGTCATGTGTAACAAAAATGTGTAAATGAACAATTACCTGTAAAGTTGGATACTTATCATATCAGATTTATGCAAAGTTAAATTAGAATCCGGGTTTCGATACCCGTGGTGGGCAGAGCACAGATAGCCCTTGTGTAGCTTTGTGCATAATTAAAAACAAACAAACAAGCAAAGTTAAATATTCTGTTTCGTATGAAATTATAATAAAACAGAAGAAATTACTCATAATGGTACGTTCCACTTGCCATTTTGAAGAAGGTTCTTTGTGATTTTCTCTTATAGCAAATTCCATCAAACAAAAATAAACAATTCTCCTATTGAAAATGCTGGCACTTATATTCTCGCGCGTAGAAACAGCTGAAGCAGAGGGGCTGACGTAATATATAATGCATTTCACTTATTTAATTTCCAAACAAGAAACTTAGCTTTCACGCAGTTCCTAGGCTAAATATAGAATAATCCTCGTGATGAGGTTCGAATGGACTTGTTTGTTCGACTGGTGGATTTTCGTTTCTTGTCAATAAAGGTGTTAAATGAAGTAATCATGGTATGTGAAAGTTTATATGAGCTATTTCACGAGAACAAATATCCAGAGACATATTGTCAAACTTTGCATAAGTAAATATAAAATACAGAGTTAATATATTTATTAATTATTTAGTGAAATTCCTGGAAATAAAGACCAATGATTTGATATTACAATTTGAGCAAACCTGTTTAAATTGTCTCTGTTGCTCTAAAATTGAATTTGTTGATTTTTGTTATAATTTTTGTCAGCGTTCTGTAATGAAGAGCCCATTTAATGTACCCCCCCTCCAGTGACACAGCGGTATGTCTGCGGACATACAACGCTAGAATTCGGGTTTCGATACCCGTAATGAGCCGAGCACAGCTAGCCCATTGTGTTACTTTGTGTTTAACTTCAAACAAACAAACAAACAAGCCATTCAATGTGTATATATATATATATATAAAGGCAGAATAATTATTCGTGTTAAAATTCGTCTTGAGTTTAATTTGACAAAAGGCAGCTAGAATAGCTTATAATTTTCGGTATTCCTGTGCCAAGTTCTATTGCTACCTACAATTGTGTAAGATTTTACATGTTCTTCTTGACCGGGTTGAAACAGTGCACGCGTTAATGTTAAACGAAATTGTTAAAACAGTTCAAAAACTTTCAATAATTCCATTCTTTATCTTTCGATAAATGAAGCATGTGTTTACTTATTCCGTAAAATAAAGTCTTTAAACAAACATGAAAGTTGTTTTATTAGCTCACGATACTTTAGAAAGTATGTCTACTTTCTAATAAGCAGATAAATCACGTTGCGAGATATCTTCTGAGGAAGAAATCATTCATAATACTTTCCATTCTCAATTTAACCATCGAAGAAGACATATTTTTCGAAAACGCTCGTGTTAGTGAGTTGTTAAATAAACATTATCGATTTCATACTTGTTAAGCTGTTGCCATAAGATTGCTTAGGTTATTCATAATGATGAAGTAAGCAAATCGCTGGAATGTCATTTTCAATAAGAATCTAACAACGACATATTCTGTTCAGAACGTCTACAACATCATCACGATAGTTTTTGTTCGTTTGTTGTTGTTTTTTTTGTCGCTGAAGCAAAACAACCGTGGCCGAAGAAGGCACATAACGCATGTATAAACCTAATATTATGCATCTTTATTATGAAACGCACTATTTCCATATATTCGCGAACTGGCTTTGCACTAAACAAGATTCGTTTTCAAACATAGGCATAAAGATGCAGTAAGTAGAGTTCTGTTAACACCTATAGCCTAAGATGTTTTGGCTTACAGTTTATTGGTTTTGTTAAAAATAGTTTATATCTATTCATCCTTTTGTGATTCCTAGCACAGTTCTCTATAAAAGGTGTAATATCTTCCAGATGGCATAACCCTTACTCGTATTTGTTGATTATTTTATCTCCGCTCCTAATCTTAACGCATATTTTTATAATTCAGTAGAAAAGTAAACAATCTTGGTTTAAAAGAGACCTGCTGATTTTTTTTATTTTATTTTAATGCTTCTAGATTCGTGAAGCAGACCAATTCATGGACGTTCTATTCATACACACTTTGCCACCCGTGAAACTCCTGTTCCTTTACTCTGACATCGACAACTTGCCTTTTAAGACAAAGTCATAAAAACCGCAGCTCCAGTCATTCTCTTTCGAGATTTATAACATCCTTCTTTCTAGCAAGTGTGACATGACCGAGCTGAAGAGATAAAAGCAATTATTTTCAGTGTTAAAGTTCAGGTGCTATACAAGTTGCACATATACTTACTGAACTAAACACACGTGCATGTGGTAAAACATACAAGGAACATTCAGAAACTCATAACTATATCTTTAAAACATACGTACCTTTATCCAGAGACAAACTAGCAGAACAACCTCGAGGGCCCTGATAGGTTATAAAACGTACGTGTCTAGCTTATCAATCCTTTCCTTGTGTACCTATCAACTTCTGACGCACAGGTGTAGAACGTCATTATGAAATTTCGCTGGTGTTATTAGTTGGGGTGTAAAATCCCTCATAAAGTTAGATGAAAGTGAAAAAAATAAAAACTTAACACTTGGAAGACATCTGGAAAAGTTAGGTTTTAATGTATAATTGCTATTGATCTTATCATAATTGTTGTTGTGGCAACTTGTTCGACAAGAATAATTTTATTTTGTAAAAAAATATAGCACGCCTATGACAGCTGAATACTTGTACTAAAAGTTGGACAGATAATTTGAGATACCTCCTTTTACTACAGACATATCGGTAATAGACTTGAAACACGTCTTGGTATTTGGCAGAAAAGCTGAAACATATTTAACGTTTAATTTTTACTTTTTATTATCAAGCGAAATAAACTCTGAAAATCGGGCTTCAATTCTGCACCAAAATAGTTTTCAAAATATGAACTCAAATTTTGTTTATCAATAAACAGATGCTACCCTAATCATGGGAACTTGTAAGTGAAAATAAAGAAGAATGTACTATTATATCTACTACAACAACTTTGTTATCTCGAGCATTTCCTACGTCGTACGCCTTTAATAACCATACCTGATTGGTGTATTAGTATCACCTCATCACAATGTTTTCACTTTTATTGTTTCACAAACTAAAATACCCGTCAACTGACGAAGAATGTTTAAACTTAATTAAAACTATGTAAGTTGAACAGCAATCGTATATTTCAAAATAATTACTTGAACATAAACTTTATCTCAAGATTTTGAAATTGTAACAAAGCTTCTTCATAAACAACATTTGTAGTTTGCTTTCCATCTACCAACAAATAAAGATTTTAAGGTGATTCCACCCTTGAACACCCTACATCTCATTTACCATGAGAAAAAAAAACATGGTTGTTTGAGAAACAATCCAGCAACTTTCATACTTTGACCTTGAATCCCTTTAGAAAATTCAACATTGGCTAAAGCATCAACTTGCCAAGATTGTTTGAGACTGACTCAATTGGCTGGGAGTAATTAACTAACATGCTTTTCAAAATAAAGTAGGGTTAAGCTCAGTTTTTACCATTAAAACATTTTCCATAGTTCATAGTGTTTACATATAAATTTTGGTTGAGATTGGCCCAATAGGCTTGAAGGAGTTAGGGTGCAAACAAACACACATTTCATCTTTATATATATATATTTATATTAGAAAATCACAGAAGCAGAAACATTAATATTAGTTTACATTATTTAGGTAAAAGGTTCTTGACTGGATTTTAATATTTTACTCACTTGATCAACCAATTTCACACACTGGCTGCATTAGCCAATAAGCTTTTAACTTGTCAAGATTATTAAAACAAATATTTGATCATTTTTCTGTTATATTTCTTAACTCTGGCTTCTAAAAGTAATGCTAAATTTATCCGACTAACGATGTTTACCGTTGAAGTTGCAAGTATAGTTATTTAACTTTAATGATGTTTTAACGTTCTTATCTTTCTTTCATACACCAAATGATTTACTTCAGTGGATCAGCAGTAAGTTCGATTTTCCGTGATGAGCAAAGCGCAATAGCCCCCTATGTAGCTTTGCGTTAAAACAAACAAACATCTGTCGATATAACAAAAACAATATGATTTTGGCTCTTTCTATCCTGAAGACATGAAATTCGTATATTGATTAGAATTACTTTTGAAATATCAAAAAAGTACTTAAAAATTCAACACGCTTACGAAGATCGCCGAAAATAGGTAGAATCGTTATTAGAAGGTGCCAAGTAAGGTGATGTATTTATATTTTTGTTTCATATGTATGTGAGTTCAGAAATCAAAGTTAGAGTTGTTCACTCAGAATTGAAGTGAACAACGAAATCGATATCAAATCTGGCCTTTATCTAAAACCCGTGTTTTTTCTTATGGTTAGATTCCGCTTGGCTTAACAAGTCCGGTAATTTAATTATGATTTATTTTCATAACAGTGATGAATAGTGGGGCTTGATCGTCCCGCTTCCAATGAACCAACGGCGATGAAAGATTTCCTTGTTTTTTGGGAGGAACGGGACACGAACAACGTAACCATAGTCCGGCATGCTAACCACTAGGTAGCCATATGTTATATTGTATGATATTTGTATAGCGTTTGACTAAAAAAACATTATGTCTTTATGTCATCCATCACTGTTCTGAAAATAACAGTGATGGATGACATAAAGACATAATTTGAAAAGTAATTAATTCATTCTAGTTTTTATCTATAATTTTTCTTAGTACCATAGGTATTCGAAAAATTAGTGCATAATTCTTTGTTTTTTTATGCTTACGATAAACAACACAGTTTACAATAATATTTATTTAAACTGGTGTCTAATATATGTTCTTTAAGGCTTATAACTTGGGTGAGAAACATTCGGTCACTTTACTTTTAACGTGGAGTACAACCTGTTCCTTGCCTATTTCTTGAATGGTAGTGAATAGTAAGTATTATTATTAATGTATACAAGGAAGACCAGTGAAATGCACACTGGCGACCTCTATAAATACCAAAACTGTTTATGGTTTTTAATTATTACCCATGATCCGTATTACCTATCATTTGACGAACTACTTGTATGTTTTTTATTGTTATTTGACGAACTACTTGTATGTTTTTTATTGTTATTTGACGAACTACTTGTATGTTTTTTATTGTTATTTGACGAACTACTTGCATGTATTTAATTGTTATTTGACGAACTACTTGCATGTTTTTTATTGTTACTTGACGAACTACTTGCATGTTTTTTATTGTTATTTGACGAACTACTTGTATGTTTTGTAGTTGACAAAATATACGTATACCTGTTTGACTACAAAACCTTTATTAACAAGAAATGTTATGATTGTTCGATAATATCATGCAAAGGGTCCAGATTTAGCTATATATTGTGCAATTAGCTTACAATATTCAGCAATTGCTGCTTGAAGAAATATGCTTTTCTGGTATTTTCTTGGTGATTTGTATATTAATCATCTCTCTCAAGTTATTCTTCTATATAACATATAAGTCTAGTTACTTGTTAACTTGACTGAGATCTATTCACCCATTTTCATTTCTTTACGTACTGAAGGAGTGATCTATATTAATCATCTCTCTCAAGTTATTCTTCTATATAACATATAAGTCTAGTTACTTGTTAACTTGATTGAGATCTATTCACCCATTTTCATTTCTTTACGTACTGAAGGAGTGATCTATATGTATAGAATATAACCTATGCTTATGCAGGACAGAAAGACAAAATATCTCCACAAAATGATACGTAGGAATTATTATAGTGAACACGGAAAAGAACTATTTTATGCTTCTTTGTGTATCAGATGCTGAAAATGAACCACATATATCCTTGGAATAAATCAAGTATAATGTTAACGTTTCCAATTCAAGTTTGGTGAGATGTTTTTTTAGTCAAACGCTATACAAATATCATACAATATAACATATGGCTACCTAGTGGTTAGCATGCC